ATATATATATATATATATATATATATATATATTATGTATATCTATATAGATTATCTCATCTAACGCAGGTCGCAATCGGCGTGGGACTGAGTACCGTTTTCGTATCCCGCTCTACGAACTTTATGTAACATATCACAAATGATTTGTCTTATGCTCAAGACGCTTAACTACTACTTGAATAAATCTGCATCCGCACAATCAGATTTCTATATTTTCTGCATCCGCTCGGCGACATATAGATATATCTGTAATCAGATCCCTGAATGTAACTACACACATTTGAAATGTCCTACAGACTGCCATATATGTGCCTTTAGATATACACCAGTCTCTTATCGACCCACGGGACAACACTACAAATGCAGAATCACACAATCACCTACACATGCGGATGTGTATCTGTATACTCAAGCCTTTTTGTTTTTAGGGTTTTTAGGTTTCCTACATATCACGTACATACGCTTACCTGTGTGCCTGTATACACACCCACACCCCCTCTGCAGATTGCAATCGATGCGTCTATGAGCATATACCAATTTTTAATCGCCGTGCGAACCCAAGGCAACACACTACAGAACGAGAGTGGGGATACCACATCCCACCTGATGGGAATGTTCTATCGGACTATCCGCATGGTGGATAACGGGATCAAACCGGTATATGTGTTCGATGGAAAACCTCCGGATATGAAAGGAGGGGAGTTGCTCAAGCGAAAGGAACGACGAGATTTGACGGAGAAGGAGCTGTCTAAGGCCAGGGAGGAGGGCAAAGAAGTATGTGTATGCTGACTGCAAGTACTGGTAGCTGAAGTGGTTGTAATTGGAATATGTATATATGTATATATATATATACATAAATGTGTGTGTGTGTGTGTCGTGATATATTAGTTCACATCAAGGATACAATGTCAATACTCTAACGTTCTATGGCAGTACTGAGCATTATTCGAGGAATTTGGTACGCCACATATCATCAAGTACAACGAGTGATATACACAAGTATGTGACAGATCTACCTACACACGATCACACATATCTACCTGTAGCCCCTAAAGCTTAAATCGTTATTCTCCCCTTTGCTCATCGTCGTCTTCTCAGGAGGACATAGAGAAGTACTCGCGGAGGTTGACGAAAGTCACTAAAGAACACAACGAAGATTGCAAAAAGCTGCTGAAATTGATGGGTGGGTAGGCTGTCACTATACCACTACTATGCCTATAATGTTTAGATATTGTACTCTCACTAGCACTTTTGTTAAATTGCACTGTCTTCATAAGTTGGCATATGTGTATATATACATACATACACTAT